TGGACATAAATTCAATTTCTAAATATCGGACTATCTAGTAGTCATTACAGGCTGCAAGTATTTAATCTGTATTAGGCACAGTGTAGCACTTTCATACATTATCTCTTTATTTCTCACAACATAGCAGCGAGGTCAATATTGCACAGCTGTTAAAACTAAGACTCTAGGTCAAGTAATATGTTAGAGATGACACAAATAGAAATGACTGAGCTTGGTTTGAAACAAATTCTGTTGTCAGGGACTGTCTTAATTTTTTTTTTTTTTTAGCAACTAAAATTTAGTCAAAGATTGAGCAGTTGAAGGATAATAGCAAATGTGATGAGAAAGATAACCCATCGCTCTTTATACCCCAGTGGTTTATAGCTATGGCTCATTGTTATTGACTGAGTAGAGGTTTACAGAGCAGGTCAGTTTTCTATTTAGCAATTTGTATACATTTTGTTTCATGTCATAGATTACAATTCCCACAATGGAAGACCACAGATCCCACTTCCTCACTGTGCTTGCTTCCATTCTTCCTTCTTTCTTACCCCCTCTGAAATTGTCCTTGTATAAATGCTGTCCTTTTGATTGCTAAGGGTTGATTTTTCCAAATGGTTGCATGTACCTCCCTAGTGTTATTGTTCCTCTCATAGACCTGTCTGTTGTTTGGCTTACAATTGGACCATAGGGGCAAGTTCAGTTCCAGACTTGAAGGATGATTTGCATGTGTCATGGATTGAATTGTGACCCCCCCCACAAATATGTGTTGCAGATAATAATCCTACTTGGGGGTGAGGTTTCTTTGTCATGTTAATGAGAACATATTGGTGTACGGTGTGTTTTGAGTTAATCTCTTTAGAGATAGCAAGAAAAGATTTAGCATGGGAGCTAAAGATGATCACTAAAGAGCCAAGGTATAGCAGTTTATTTGTTTATTTAAAGATCATTTTATTGGGGGCTCTTACAGCTCTTATAACAAGTCATACATCAATTGTATCAAGCATATTTGTACATATGTGGACATCATTATTTTCTAGATATTTACTTTCTATTGAGTCCTTGGTATCAGCTCCACTTTTTCCCCTCCCTCCCCACCCCCACCCTGGTGATCCCTTGATAAACTATAAATTATTATTATTTTCATATCTAACACCAACCACTGTCTCCCTTCTCCCATGGTTTCTTTGTTCATCCCCCTGGAGGGGTGTGAGGTTATGTGTCAATCATAGTGATCAGTTCCCCCTTCCTCCCCTCCTCTCTCCACCTTCCCTCTACACTTCTGGTATCACTGCTTGCATTCCTGTTCCTGGATTCCATGTGTCATGAGCTCTTATCTCTTAGCTGTACTTATGCACATGCTTTGGTCTAACCTGCAGTGAAAGGCAGTACTGGGGTCATGATAGTGGGGGGCGAGGAAGCCTCAAGGAACCAGAGAAGTATTGTGTGTTTCACTGGTGCTTTACTGTACCCTGATTGACTCATCTCTTTCTTGTGACCCCTCTGTGAGGGGATGTCCCTCTGTCTCAAGCCCCCTCTTTCTCAACAATATGGTTTTTTGTTTGTTTGTTTTGGGTCTTCTGATGCCTGTTATCCAGCCCCGATAACTCCTCATGATCACACAGGCTCGTGTGCTTCTTCCATGTGGGCTTGTTGCTTCTCTGCTAGATGGTTGCTTGTTTAACTTCAAGCTTTTAAGATCCCAGACACGATATCTTTTGATGATAATAGCTGGGCACCATCCAATCTCTTCACCACATTTGCTTGTGTACCCATTTTGTCCTCAGCAATTGTGCAGGGAGGGTGTGCAGTTTTTCTCTTAGTTAATGGTGCTTTTTCACAAACATGCGGGGCATCCATCTAGTTTCCCCCATGTTGTTGTTTGATGTCATTGAGTAGCTCCGACTCATAGTGATCCATGAATAACAGAACAAAACACTGCCACGTCCTGAGTTATCCTCACAATTTTTGTTATGGTCCAGCCCATCATCGCAGCCGCTGTGTCAATCCACCTGGTCGAAGACCTGACTCTTTTTCGATGCCCCTCTGTTTAACAAAGCACGATGTCCTTCTCCAGGGGCTGTTCTGTCTTGATAACATGTCCAAAGCATGTAAGAAGTGATCTTGTCATCCATGCTTCCTAGGAGCATTCTGGCTGTACTTTCAGTAGACGTGTTTGTCCTTTCTGCAGGCCATGGTATTGTTGTCAGAGTGTCAGGTTGACTTGGAGAGGCTTAGACTGGGTTTTCTGCAAGAGAATTTCATGGACTCTCCCGGGAAAGGGATAAAAAGCCTTGCCCGTCAGCATGGCTGGTCCTGGTGTTTCTCTTCCTTTGCAGCTGTGAAACAGAGGCTTTTGGTATTCATGTGTAAAAGATTGTTGGGAAATTTCTGCTGGTGCCAGGGGTTGGGGTGGTGGGGGACTTCCACCAGTGGCAGGGCTCACTATCTTGCAATCACGCCCTCAATTTTTTTGCGCTCACTGCCACACCCAAAACGGCTCTCCCAATAGGCACAGTTGAATTGGAGATTTCAAGAGGCTATGAACTTAGAGACGAGATGATTCTAGAATGTCTTTCACACTCACCAAATATTTAGAAAAAAGATAATCCCAAGTACATGGATCAAGCACATTCTCTAAATTATGTCATTCACAATAATATTGAAACATTGGCATTGCAAGCCTTGTTTCACCGGCAGTGAGGTTGAAGGAAATAAAAGGTTCATTAACTTTCCCGAGGGATTAAAATCTAGTTCTGATTCCAATGTTGATGTCTATAACACTACACCAATAGGGTTCCTCCAACCAAGAAGTGGCTTCTGGTTCTACAGCAGGGCAGATGTTGTTGGTTGGCATGGATGCCTCAGTTCTGACATGATGCAACCCCATGCACAGTACAATGAAACTCTACTTGGCATTGTGCCATCCTCACAATTGTTCTCTGGTTGAGCCCATTATTGACACCACTGTGCTAATTCACCTTTTGAACATCTTTCTTTTTTTTTAAATCCCCAACCCTTTGCTAAGCATGATGCCCCTTTCTAGGGACTGGTCTTGCTTAATAACATATTCAAAGTATGTAGACAGTCTCACCAGATGAGGGGGTCAGGGGGCTCGGTCTTCCTATGTGGACCTGTATGATGTTTCAATGTGCATAGGTAGCTTAGTTCTAGCCCTGACTTTGCCTCTTTACTAAGCACGGAATCCTGAGCTAGTCACATCCCCTTTTGACCGCCCGTTCTAATCCTGAAAGTTAACAAAGTGTTTCCAAGGATTTCTGGAGGATCAAAAAATTGAAGGGTTATACAAATCTAAAAAAATATCAGTTACTGAGTACACGAATTTCTTAGGACTAAGAAAATCTTTTCCTTGCCTCTTCTCGTCTTTGGGGGATTGTTAGCAATCTTCAGTGTTCCTTGGCTTTGTAGACCCATCACTCCAATCTTTGCCTCTATATTCACATGGTTTTATCCCCAAGTGCTTTTGTGATTCTTCTTATAAGGACACGGGATTTAGGGCTCACCTTAAAATCCACTGTGACCTCATTTTTAACTAATTACTTCTGCATAAACCTTAGTTCCAAATAAAGTCACCTCTGAGATTTGGCTGGATATAAAATTTTGGGGCACACTATGCACTCCAGCACATTGAGCAGTGATCGAATCAAGTCATGTTCACCTTAATTTACCTGCAATGGGAATTTTTTTTCTTTCAAACCATTTTATTAGTCCCTAATCCAGACATCATATTATTCCATAGTTCAATCATGTCAAGCAGTGTTGTACAATCCCTACCACAATCAGTTTCAAAACATTTTCTTCCTTCTTGAACTCCTTGATATCA